AACCAGGTATTTCATTGCTCTGTAATGAAAACTTCTTTGCTTAAAGGATGGAAATCTGTGGTTCATGAATTGGGGGGGTTTAAGCCCTTAACATCAACAAATTCAAAATTTTGGAAGAGAAGGTAATTCGACTTACTGTGATTTATTTTTTTATTATAATGCATGATTGTGATACAAATTATCCTTGAGCTGGTTATGGTCTTGGGGTTATGAAGACTAGGAAAAGTAGAAGAAAAATGTAGGATGATTGTACTGTTGGCTTTCTGCTTTAGGTGTAGAAGTTGCCTGTATAAGATTATAAAATGCTTTTGGAATTGATATCGGCTTAAGCAGAAAGTGGATAGCTCATGTTACTATGTAACTGATGAATCGAGTTGAATTGCTAGAGGCTGGACGAAGACATTTAGCTACTGCTTCTACATGGGGTTTGGCTAGCTGAAAATGAGGTGAAAAGAATGAGCTAAAGAGACTACTAATTAATAATCATTCCAGTTATTAACTGTCATACTTAATGGTGCAGCTGGACAACATTTCTTTTTGAGTAGGGATCCACTTACACACAGGTCTTACACTCAAGTTTTACACACCACACTTACATAAAATCTTAACCGTTCATCTCTCCGCTTTCAATGGTTGAGATTTATTCACAATTATTTTTTTCATCTAAAAAGTTGTGATAAATTTCAACCATTGAAAGTGGAGAGACGAATGGTTGAGATTTTGTGTAAATGTGCTGTGTAAGACTTATGTGTAAGTGAATCCTTCCTTTTAATTTTTAGTGGACAATGTTCTTGCCTAGCTGGCTAGCTACTTAGAAATGAGTTCTAATTATTTTGTTACCCTTTTTTCTTGCGCATTGAGTCTTTGAAAGTTAGTTCAGCTCATATCATGTATGATGTCTCAACTTTTGCCTCCTGATGCTGAAATTATCTTTTTTAAGTTTCATGGTTCTGGTATTCTTTATTTGATGCAGAGGGACAGTAATGGTAATTGCATTTTTGAATCTAATAAAACAGGAGAACTTTGATCTGTGCAGTCAATCAAGATGCTGAGGAAGCCTTCAAAAAGACTGTTGAAGTGGACAGGCTTATTGACTTGCTGAGGGATGCAAATCCACAAGAAGTAAGCGCACTGTGCTTTGCAGTTTGTTTCTATTGTTCTGTAAACATCCTGAAATCTCCCTCTCTTCTTTTTTTTCCTTTTTTGTATGTGTTTTCAAGTTTTCTGTATCACTTGAGGTGTAGATCATAAATTGGTTTTTATATTTGCTTACTACCCTGCTATTGTAATTGTTGGAGAATAAAGAACTCATATTTATCTCTTTTAAGGAAAAATAGTGATTTTGGCCCAAAAAAAACAAAAAAAGAGAGAGAGAGAGAATAACAATAGTGATTTTAGTAAGAGAGTTAATTTGTTTGAAAAGTTTATGAACCCATGAGGGAAGACCATGAGGTCCAGAAGAGTATCAAATTTATTTGCTGAACTCATTTAGAACTTAGGGTGGATATGGCAGTATTGCACATTGTTTGTCAATTCCTTCTAGGAAACCCTGTACCTGCAGAAAATTGTATATGATTAAGTTATAAATTTATTTACAGAAATTTGTTTTTGCTGGCTTTTTCTGTTGGGACAGCTTCAGAGGCTTGTTGTTGAAAATATCCTGGCTTTCAATGAAAGTTTTTGGATTCGACTTGCAGCACGTACTGATACTTGCAAATCAGAGGATGATAAAGCACGGTTCTTGAGTTGGTTAATTCTTATATTTCATTAAGTTTCCAGGTTGACCTGCATCTCATCCGCTCTATTTTGTAATTATTGCTTCTTTATTCCTTTTCTCTTCATGCAGAAAGACTATGAGGAATTGGCTACCTCTGTAATGAGCATAGTGGATTGCCTGGTTCATAAGACCCATGTACCTCTCTTTCTGCAAACTTAGTTTCACACAATTGTCAATCAATGCAATGCAAAGCAATTTATTCAAAGCATGGATAATATTGGTAGATGCCTTTTATTGGTGTTATTTTTAAGGCTTTAATTTCTTCATTTCTGCAGGAGAAGATAGAGTCAGCTACTGATGTGCTGAAGGGGATTTTGAAACCTGTAGTTGATGAGGTAGAAGAGATTCCATGGCCTCCTAGTGATCCTGAGGCTCTCAAACTGATGGAGAAAGTAAGTCTTAATGTCAGTTCTCTATGAATAATAATCTTATTCCATCTATAATTGGAAATGGATTTTATATACAATTTTAAATTCAAGTTAGATGTCAAAGGAAAATGCTGTACAAATGGTTCTTTCCCCTTGCTTTATGCTTTTAATGTTCTGTCTGTTCTGCAACTTAATTCTGGCTATGATAGGATATTTACATTCTGTTGAACTTTAATACTGAATCTCAATGAAATCTACTCATGCAATCAAATAATTAAATAAACAAGTATCTGATGATAGCAACTTCTTCTTTGTCAAGTTTATCATGATTGGGATATGCTAGAGCAGCTGCTCAGCTAATTGCTTAACAGAAGCAGCTTTGATAGTTTCATTTGCAAATTGTTGTTATATATCTTCTTCAGGAATGGGATCATTAGATGATTGTATGTCTTGCCTTCTTAGAAGCCTTTTACTTTTCTTTATTGTCAGGAAATAATGCAACGGGAGCAGGAAGGGCAGCTAGATGAAGGTTTTCTTTCAGAAGTCAACGCACAACTACGACAAGTGAGTATTTGAATGCTTTTTGTAGTGAAATTTTCTTGAATATCCAGTTGTTGGTAATGGGAAACTTTCTTCTAGCCAAATTCAGCATGTTGATATATTAAATTCCCTTTAATAATATAACTTCCATTTTTTGTTTAAAGTGATGCTTTGTAAAAGATTTGATGACATGTGTAAACGGTTAATAGTGCTTATACCTCTTTTTTAGAGTCCTGCCCCCACCCAATTACCCATAAATCTTTTTCCTGTTTAGATCTGGATTAATGATTTGATTGCTAATTATCTTTTAGTCATTTGCAGGCAAAACAAGATGGTGATAAGCCTGGTCTTGTTTCTATGTTGCAAAAGGTTTTGCAACTCTATGCTTCTAGACTTCTTTCCAAACGCAGTTATGCAAAGAAAGGTATCTCGGTCTTTTAGTTTACCCAAATATCTTTTTCTTGAAATTGAAATATAAACCAATTATTCTGTTTTGAAAAATCAACAACCCCAGCAGTCTAACAACTTAAATTATAGAATCTTTTGAGCTTTGGTAAAATAAACAGCCAGAACTTCACGCTAAATTATAACCTTTGTGGTCATATTTCCCTGGCTTGCTTTGGAAGTTGGTTATGCTAAGAGCATTTCCTATCATTATTTCTGGGCAGGGAATGAAGTTCTGAAGGCTGAACAGTTTCTTGAAACTCTGATCAAAGGTATATTCTCTCCTTCCGTATTATTCTTTTGGAAGTGCAAACTTGTTATATTTTTGGACTTTTGAGTGAACCATTCTTCTGATTCTTAGGGCACATATCAGCTGTTCCTTTAAAGAGTTTGCCTTTTCTTGACAAGCCAACTTGGCAGAATTCAGGCTTATTCTGCACATTATTTTCTTTGTATATCCTTAGAAAATGCTTGAACTGCATCGTGCACATGTGAGATTGTTATATATACATAACTTGTGCTGCAGCTCCTGAGGAAGAGTGGAACAAGCTTTTGCTTGATGGATTGACAGTTGGCAAGGGTGAAATTTCACCAGAGGAACTTGATGCTGTTGTGAAGAAAAGGATTGAACGGACTTTAATACGAACAGTAAGAGGAACTCTTGGTTTTGAATTTCTAGCTACCATAGTTTTAGTTATTTCTAGTCACCTGAGCTTTTTCTTTCCATTTCTTCCTTTTGTTCTCTCTCAGGAGGGAGGTTCATACCAGCAACGTGTTCTTACCGAGTACTTGAAAGGCATTGAATCAAGAGCCGAGGAGATTGTACAGTTTCTGAGCAATCAACCATAAGCACCCTCTGCAAAATTGAAGATGAGCCTAGACGCAAAATATCAAACCTGCAAAATTTGAAAGAGTTATCTCCATGATGAAGAGTTAGAACACTGAAACATAGATCCTATTGACTGTGCATTGCCCAAACTTAACCCATTTGAATCTGCAGGCAAATATTTATTCTATGCTGGGTGGGGTGTGGTATTAATAATTGAGGATGTGACAGTAATATAACTTTTTTTCATTACCTACACATTTCTTCTCAAACGAGGGTAGGAAGATGGGATCATAAGAATTATTTGTAATATAATTAATAGTAGATATAAATTGGATTTATTATGACATTCATTAGCAGGCTGATTTCTCAAATTTGCTTACATCGATCACTATCATTATATTCATTCCTTTTAAAATTGTACCTTTATGCCCAAGTAACAATATCAAGATCAAGATAGCATAGGGAAAATGCATTGTATATGTGGATGTAGGTATCTCTATCTGATACATATATATAAATATATATATATATATATTTTTTCCAGAGGTCGAGTGATTTATGCACATCGAGAAGTTCTTGATGCAACGGTTATTTTGTATTATCCTTGAAAGTGTCCCATATTATTTGCGTAAAAGTGAATGAGAATAGACTCATTTTTTCTTCGGTTGAGAATTGCTTGAAAATGAAACAACCAATCATTATAATTCCTCTCAATTTTCTCTACCTAATTAACTACCATTTTCTTTTTGATTGAAACTGAAAACTTGATTTTATTTTTAAAAATGCTTTATACTATCTAAATTATACAAAACTAACCATCTAAAGAACAAATCATTTAATATTGGGCATTGCCCTTAGACAAACTTATGATTTGAAGTCCCCAATAGTTCAAATAGAAAAATTAAAATTACAGTCATATTAATTAATAAAAACAAAACTATATCATTTAAATTATACAACACATACAATTAAATGAAAATAGTCCATTCAATAAACTCCTATTTTACTGTCCAAGTTGCTAACCAGTAGACTTTAACTCACAATTTTTTTCAGGCAGAAAATATGCGGCCAAATTAAATGTAGACAAAAGAAAGAAAAGCATTGAATTGAAGTGGGCATTTAAAATCCGAAATATGGTCAAAATAAATAAACTAACAAATAAATAAATAAATAAAGTTAAAATCCGAAATGGAATTCACTGTGTACCTCTTGAGACGATCACAACCATCGACACTCAATCCAACCGTTAATCCTCACCAAAACAACGAACATCCAGAAGTACTAGATCACGGACCCTCACATCACACAGCCTTGAAAAAAATAAAAAACAAAAACATTACAGTAACATTGGCATCCATTAATGTTTCCACATCCTGTCATCCTCCCAAGACTCAAACTTCCCGATCTGTTAACTCTAACGCACGTTGGATCTTGTTCGTAAAATTCAGATGCTTTCTTTTCCGATCCTACACTGAT